GAGAGAGAGAGAGAGAGAGAGAGAGAGAGAGAGAGAGAGAGAGAGAGAGAGAGAATGGAACGAAAGGTATTGGAGGGGAAGAGTGAGTTGTCTAGAGAAATGAAGCGGAGTGAATGGCGACAAAAGGGAAGTACATCTGCTATCAGATATCTTCCTGTCATTCTATCTTAAATGACTCTTATGTTTACTTGAGAAAGATCGTCCGGCTTGTTACCCAACTCACTTACTCGCGTGCCACTGTCTCATGCATTCAAACCACCAGTACATGCCAGCCATCGACCGTGGTCTCCTTTCGAAGGCCGCCCGTCATCGATTTATTTTATCAACGGCGCGTGAGCCTCCAAAATTTTAGGAGAGGCTCAATCGGACTCTCAACTTCGCTTGGGCCATGTTGTTACATGCCAGGGCTTGAACCTTGGACTTTGCAACTAGGAGTCGTACATGTTTGGCCAGTGAATCTGTTTATCCAAGCATATTTAGGATTTACGTATCTGCCTTCGAAACGTCTCCTTGACGACATGCACTTGCTAGTTTTGGGTTGAACCTTATACCTTGGTAGTTTGCGTTTGAACCTTGGACCTCAGGACTAGGAATGGTACACCTTGGACCAGAAGCTCTGTCTATCCAAGCACATTTACATATCTGCCCTCCACGACCCCTTCTTGAAAATATGAACTAGTTAGTTTCCCTGGTCCCGGGTCTGGACCTGCATCTGGACCCGCATCTGGACCCGCATCTGGACCTGGGTATTATAGGTCCAACCCTGGTACTACGAGTTGACATTGGTTCACGCCGAACTTCACGGTAGGTCTTGATAGGAATCTTGGTCTAAACCTGGTCCTCTGCATCTATCTTCTGTCCATTGTCTGTTGCATCTCTTTACTGTGTAACTCTTCGCCGCCGTCTGTGGCATTGTCATCTTCTCTCATTGACCTGTTTTCCTTCTGAAATGGCAGCAGCCTCTTCTCTACTCTAGGACACAGTTTAGCTTCAGATAGAGTCCCTGTGGTTTTGTGTTTTCCTTTTTAATCTGTTTCCACTGTCATTGCGTTTATCCTTTATTTTTTTGACAAGTGTAAATATTTGGAGGCGAGCAACCGCTCACAAAACCCCATGAAATAAAGTCACTTCTCAAGGATGTGAGCCTGACGCCCAAGGTGAGCTTCCCTCTCTTTCCCTCTCTCCCTCTCTCCCTCTCTCCCTCTCTCCCTCTCTCCCTCTCTCGCTCTCTCGCTCTCTCGCTCTCTCGCTCGCTCGTGCTCTCTTTCCATATGCCTTTTTGACTTGGTCTGTTGATGTGGATTTGAACTTTGAAGTCTTGACTTGTTGATCATAATATATAGTTTTGTATAACAGCCAGATAATATTAGCTCACTACTGCTTTCAGATTCGCGTTCCTTGGAAAAGAAGATGAGGTTGAATTTCATTTGCTGTGAACACAGTAGACCTCAGGATCAGGAGCAGAAATCATGCTACCATCTGCTCCTCGATGCCGTCCTGTTCCGGGCTTTTCCCTGTTTACCTGTTGCTTTTCCGCTTTCTGAGAGGCACCTGGAGAACAATATATCCACGAGCGCCTGAAGTTTTCTTCAGGTCGGAGGCAGGATCTTCTATCAGCCTCCTATCGTTTTTCCTTTTTGATGTTATCAGTTAGACAGGAGAGCTAGATTCTGAAGTCCGGAGCATGCAAACCCAGTGACTCAAGCTGGCAAAGTGAAATTCGGAACCAGCCTCGAAGTCACCTGATTGCAGCAGTCCTGTCGATGGTCCACATTATGTTGATATGGAATCAGCGACTTGACTGTTTAGGTTGAGGCCACAGGCAGGATTTGGCTGTGGAGGAAAGGAAGGGAAAATTGGGGCCGAGCACTGGGGCTTAAGAAGGATAGAGCAGCATTGAGGAGCATATCGATCGTGCTGTAGAGAGGTCTTGGGATTTGCGGAACCCGTAGCTGTGTCTGAAGGTGCTCTCACTGTGTGTGTGTGCTGTCTCTTATACACATCTAGATGTGTATAAGAGACAGTCTTAATCCTGTCTACTTGTCCCCTGTTCCCTCCACCTCCCTCTAGATCTTTCTGTACCACGATGCATTTATCTCAGGCCATATTCACAATAGG